GAGGCGCCTATTTGCACTTTTCCTTTTTTCTTCTTCTTCTTCTTTTTTAATTGGAGGGGTGCTTGACCGAGAGCAACACAGGGGATAAGTGAAATAGAAGACTGATACCAAGGTCACGTAAGCCAGCCTCCCGGCAGCTTTTCACTGGGCTAGTGATGTAACTGGTTCAAACCATTTTCCTAATTAGCCAAACCCATCCTGTTATTATTTTCATAAACCTGGAATTGAAACATCAGTATTTGTTGGAGTTTTTCTGTCCCACGTGTGCAGGTGAAGGGCTAACTCAGGTGACTCTCTAATCAGATGGCCCGGGTTGGGGAGCGCGCAAATGCGGGGTTCAGTATCTCTCCCCCACCCTTGCAAAGGGATCCCGAGCTCAGGGTGTCCCGAGCTCAGGGTGTCCCGTGGACCGCGTAGCCCAGGTGCACGGTCCTCAGCACGGCCAAGTGCCCCTGAGCTGGAAGTCTGGCTTGGTCTCCTCCTGACCAACACCCCCCTCTCGCTACCGTTCCCCATTTAGAAGTTCCCCACCCCCACTTTCTTCTTACCTGACCACCTGCAGAGAAGTCGCCTTAGAATACACTAAGGTCGCCAGTGGGAGCCTGCGAGTCTCCCAGGCTTTTTTCATTTGTCTTCAACAGTTTGTGACAGAGAAGCCATGGCTTTGATGTCACCCGATATTTGGGAGTAGGCGGGTAGGACGTGGGTAGGAATAAAGAGGCAACTTGGAGAGGGAAACCAACGCTGAACCCGGGCAGCTGCCTTCCTACTGCTTTATTTTGTCCTTAGCTTATTTAAAGAAGGCGGTGGGGGCGGGCGCGGTGGCTCACGCCTGTTATCCCAGCACTTTGGGAGGCCGGGGCAAGTGGATCACCTGAGGTCAGGAGTTCGAGACCAACCTGACCAACATGGCGGAACCCTGTCTTTACTAAAAATACAAAAATTAGCTGGGCGCGGTTGCGTGCGCCTGTAATCCCAGCTACTTGGGAGGCTGAGGCAGGAGAATCGCTTGAATCGGAGAGGTGGAGGTTGCAGTGAGCTGAGGTGGTGCAATTGCACTCCAGCCTGGGTGACAGAGCATTACTCCGTCTCAAAAAAATAAATAAAAATAAGAATGAAGAAGGAAGTGGAGCAGCCTCTGATGGAGATAGTGTCAGAGTGTCTCCTCCCTGACCCTTAAGGCCTCACATCCAACCCGGGAACTCCTCTTGGGGGGGTTCCAAAACGAGGAGAGAGGCTAGGAGATTGTTCTCATTCAGTCAGCCATTGAAACGGAAACAGCCTACCCTGACCTGGCTTCATGGCCGGCCACCCTCCCTTCTCAGGGCATCTTGCCCCAAGAGAGATGCTCACAGTTTCCACTCAGTGCCCCCAATTCAGACCGCCTGCCTCTCACACCTCCTTGCCCACGCCTCTTACCCAATTCACACACTTTCTGCAAATTTCTTTCTGCGCTGGGAAGCTAGAAAACCTTAAGAAACAATACTTTCAAAATCCAAAACACATTCTATTCTCTAAAGGAAACCTGGAGAAATTGGCCAGCTGAATTCCGCAGATGACTTCCATTGAGGGGTAGCGTGGGAATTGGGGGCGGTGGGAATTTGTGTCATGAACTGTGATAAGAGAGGGAACATAGAAAGATTCGATTTGAGAGTTGTGGTTATTTCACATTCCTCCACAAAGAAGTCAATTCTGCTCAGTTAAAAAGAAAAAACATTTCTGTCTTCTGCATCTGCAGACAATGGTGAGATATAGTAAGGAGAAGTTTAATATCTGGAAAAATAGGCAGAAGAGGTTTTTGAATCCGCCAAAGAAGAAAAAATTAGAAAGAATATAGAAAAAAAATGCATTTGTGTTGGAGCAATCAGTTTAGAAATACTATATATACTTCATCGTTTATTGTGATCTCTCATTTCTCTTTTTATTTTATTTCTCAAGGTTGATCTCTGGGTCTCAAGCTGGGCTCTTATCATGAACATCTTAAAGTGGTATTTCACCATCAGTTGTGCAGGTGCTATTGACTTTATAAAGATGATTATTTCTGTCCTCTTTAATCTCTGGAAAAAGCCAGAATCCCCTTCCCCTGTGAGACCTACTTTTGGAGAAACTATGAAGCTGCAGTTACTGAAAATGGTATTCTTTTAAAATACTGGTCAGAATTACTCAGGATATATTTGAGGATCCATTCTCTCCCATTGGCTTATAGGTTCTATTCAAAGAGAAGCTATTTAGGGACATGTAAAAACCAGTAAATTTCCTGATGCACAAAAGAAAATGGTGCTTTTTGCCCACTGCCTATTTCCACTCGAAAGTGAATAATGCCCCAGTTACCACCAGGCCTGACTTGATTTATCTTGGTTAATAGGATTAACGTGTCAGCCTCTCTCAAGAATTTCTAAATGCAGATCCAGAGTGTCACTGACTCGCTGGTGTCTTTTTTCCTCTCTGATGGGCATAATGACGCACCTACAAGCAGAGGGGCCTTTGTCCGGTGGGAGCAGGCAGATTATCTGTCTCCAGTGAAATAAGGCGTGATGCAGCCACCTTTGCCAAGACTCAAAGCCAGAACCCAGTCACTATAAAATAATTGTGTCACTACCTCACCACTGTACTGTCTGTGTTTCATTTATCTTTTGACTGTAATTGAATGGTTGAAAAGCAAAAATGTAGACAAATTCCAGCTGTACTGAGATCTGTTTCTTCCTTTACTACCTCGGCCCATCATTAGATACTTTCCCTCTCTGCACAGGAGGTCAGAGTGTATAAATATAAATTGCATTTTGCATTACTTCTAGATGAGTGAAGCTGTCAAAGCAATAATATGAGCTTTCAGTCCCACATTCTACCATTTCTTTCCCATTTTTTGGCCAGGAGGTCATGTGCAAATTGAACGTGACAACCCAGAAGACATGTCCAACAGACTTGTATTGTTACTCAGTTCAGCCGCCTGGCTCATAACAACATTAAATCCACATTAGTTCCCAGTCTTCCCCAGACAGGAGCTCCTAAACACAGGACTCAGGCTTCTCAGAAAGTTTGCTTCAATGGCAACAATTCATTTCACCTGAAAGTAATAGGTGGCACTGACCTAAAATATGTTTTGCCCAAGATTCATGAAGATGTCAGACTTAGAGGGACCAGGGCAGTATCTTATGAAACAAAGAACAAGGTGAAGGGCCAAAGAGCCCTGCAACACACACACACACACACACACACACACACACCCCACAAGCACACACATGCACACAGGGGAGGAGAGAGGAAAGTATACTGGCTTCTGTTTGAAAGTATGAAAAATTTTTCAGTATCTGGTAGTGATGTGGTTGGAAATCATTTTTGTTGTTATTACAACAAGGAAAATGTTATTTGGGAAGCCATCTTAAAATATGGATTGGCCGTGTACTCTCATTAGCAGGTTCTTGATAGTATTGTTTTAAGAACCCACTTGCATAACAAAAAAAAATAAAGTTTTAGCAGCTTATTATCACTGTCATTAAAAGATACCCTTTCTAAGACTACATTGTAGGGAAGGGATCAGAAACTTTCATCAATTTGAAGAAAGCTGAATGACTTGGAGGATCAGTAATTGTCTATCCATGTGACCCATTCATGTCTTGCCCAGATTGCAGTGAACGGAGAGCTGTTGTTCGCTGACAGGGTGTTTGATGGTTTCTAGAAAATGAGTGGCTGTTTTCATTCTTGTTCCAAATGGACAGGTGTCTACATCAGAATTGGCAACCTGGTTGGCAGATTCAGAGTGGCCAAGGAGCAAATTGTTTATGGAGAATAAACTTCCCTCCCTCCTGTGATGACTGTGCACACGTGTGAGTGCTGGCAGTGGGGAGGAGGGAAAAGGGGAAACGTTGGAAATGGAAAGATTGATACAGGTCCATAAAACATAAAGAGGCTGAAACCCCTTGGTTCTGAGTGGCGCCATATGCAATTGCACCTCTCTGGGAGCCCAACTTTTGCTTATCCACATTGTGATCTACGTGCACGAATAAAAGTATGTGAAAGGCACTTAGTTTCCCTTCGGATGCTCATAACAATCTCAACAAATAAAATTAAATGAGATTTTTTGCACTTGGTTAAATCAGCAATATTTCATTCATCTTTCTTGAAGAAAGTATCTTTATTTTCATTCCCTCAGATGAACTAAAAGTGCTTAAATACTGAATAGGAAGAAGAGGTAACTGTAAGAATCACACCTGGGAATGCCTAATCCAAAGAAGGAAATGGCCCTCTTGTCCTCAGTGGTTAAGGCCGCATGCTATCACATAATACCTAAGGGTGACCATTAGATATATAAACGTAGTTATCTCTTCTTTCACATTTACACATAATCCTTACAATCTCAGGTTATCATTCATGCTAATGGTTTTGGCTTCCTGAGTGTTATTCTAAAGCAATATATGATAACACTCTTTTAAAAAAGAAGTCATTGTAATACCCCAAGATCTGATATCTTTTATTGTCTAAGCTCTACTTTCACATGTATTAAAGTTGTATTAAATTTTGGAAAATGTTAACAATAATAACAAAAATCTCCATGACTATGAAACTACTGCTGTCAGTATTGTTGACACTGAAGAAAGTTGCGCTTAATTTTGGGCAACATTTTATGGATATCTGTAGTTATTAGGAATGTTTAATTTTTCAATACTTATGATTTATAAGCTTCCAGTCATAAGATTTTATAGTTCTTCTCCTTTGTCCTAACATTTTTCTTCTCTTCTTTTTTTTATTTTATTTTATTTTTTTTTTTTGAGCTGGAGTTTTTGCTCGTCACTGAGGCTGGAGTGCAGTGGCACAATCTCGGCTCACTGCAACCTCCGCCTCCCGGGTTCAAGCAGTTCTCCTGCCTCAGCCTCCCGAGTAACTGGGATTACAGGTGCGCACTAACACACCTGGGTAATTTTTGTATTTTCAGTAGAAACGAGGTTTCAGCATGTTGGCTAGGCTGGTCTTGAACTCTTAACCTCAAGTGATCCACCCACTTCAGCCTCCCAAAGTGCTGGGATTATAGGCATGAACCACCACATTTGGTCTCTTTTCTTAATAAAATAATTTGTGTAAACCTGACATTAATTTTCAGTTCATTTCTACTCTACTACACGGCCAGAAATTTTAACAATGAAGATCAAAGACTTTGGAGTGAAGCTAACTCCTCCTCCACCTCTGTATGATGCATTCTGTGACCTTAGGCACATCATTTAATTCTCTAGGCCTCAGTTTCTTCAACTGTAAAATGGGAATGTTAATAGTCTTATTTTACAAACTTGTTTGAAGATTTGTGACATGCTTACCCAGTTGTGTGAAGATTTGTGACATGCTTTCCATGTTTTAGGAGCAGAGTAAATTCTCAATCAGAGTTAAACACCGTTGTTTCTGTTGATGATGGTGATGGTTTTGTAACCTCAAAGTGTCGATATCTTCATCTTCATCCATGAAACAGAAACACCACCACCCAAAGGGTTATAGACCATATTTAAGTTTAGTTAAAGAGTGTAACATATTTGACATAGTGGCTGAAGCAGAGCCTTCAATAAAGAAGTGGTGAGTTTCTTGCTGCTTTATTCAGGGAACCAATGAAAATCAATGAAGTATTCACTGTGGAAAGAAAGTCCATTCTTCAAGAGTTCCACTTGATAGTTCTTCAAGTTTGACTCTAGAGGCTTAACTGGTAGAAAATGGCATGAATGAAGCCAAAGTTGAGAATCATGCCCGCTTAGCCTCCTTTGTTCTGTGACCACAACTCATACCAGCTGTCACATGAATTCACACGTCTGGGTAGTAGTGAGACACCTCAGCAAGAGTGGTGGGGGTGGACAGCCCAAGTCCACTTCTGTTCCTGAAAAATAAATTACATGAAATAAAACTCCAGGTACATGGTTTGCTGATCCAAAAACGTGTCTTAGAATCGGAAGGAGGATGTAGAGAGTTTAAATGTAATGCTTACTTTCTCATATGATTAATTTACTTGTAGAGATAGGATCACACCTTTTTTATATTTGCATTTGCACAGAAACTTTGGTGCCATCTAAAGATTCTTCTTAAAGGACCCCAAAGGCACACTCAAGTCAACAGCCTTCAGCCCCTGCAGGAAGAATCAGCACTTCTCTGAAAGCTTTCTCTGCCTGGAAAAGAGCCATCAGTTTTGACTCTTTGAGAATTTTACATTGAGCCAATAACAAAATTGTATCAAAGCCTTTGGGGGCTCCATATATCCCAAATACAATTCATGTTGAAAATAATATTCCATAGCTTCAGAAATCCCTTTGTAGATCAGAGTTCATGAATATAACCTCCTCTGGGGAGAAAAGAAGAACGGAAAGTTTCCAATCCAAAACTGTTTGTGTGTAACACAACTAAATAAGATTCTTGTCATGACTTATTCTGTATTTAAAACCAAGGATTCCTCAACTGATTAGATAGAAAAATGGGTTGATCAGAAAGCCCCAATTGCATCAGATGTGTGTGTGTGTGTGTGTGTGTGTGTGTGTGTGTCACTTGCATCAACACTGTTCAGTGATGTTTAAAACCTCTAATGTCTTCAGTTCAGCAAGAAAGCCAAATGGAATTGGGTTTGATCCATTTTCTCTAAACATAGTTGCCTCATTCTCTAAGAGTAAATTGGATTTGGTGAAGATTAAAAGGAAGGCAAAGAGAAGTAACTTCTCTACCAGTTATCACTGACGACCCACACAGCCAAGTGTTTGGCATGTGCCTGTTGTCTGTTTTTCTGACCGTAGGGAGCAGCTCAAATGACAGGCACACAGATGGACGCATTGTGTGATTAATGGCGTCTCCCAGGCATGGTGGAGGGGATGCAAGAAATGGTGGCATATACAAGCGAATCCTCTTGTTGGTTTAGTGCTCCCTCCACGGTTGGAAGTAGAGAAGAATCAGGAGAAATTCCAGCCTCATTGTTTGCTAGAAAATATGAAGGTACCCTTCTTTCTTTTTCAGGAATCACTTGCCAAATCCAGGACTTTAATGGGATACCACACCGGCTTCCTGATTTGCCATCAAAATTATATTCTCTCTCCCTCCCTCCTCCTCTTCCTTTCATCCTTTGTTCCTTCCTCTCTCTTTCTTTGTTCTTTTCTTTTTCTTTGCCTTTTTTTTTCTCTCTCTCTCTCATACACTACCTCACCTCAGCAGCCTCAAAGTGGATCACTAGAGTTAGCTCTCTGTAAAGTCTCTGAGGAGTGAAACAAAGTGTGTGGAGCTGGCTGGGTGTGGGGGCTCACGCCTGTAATCCCAGCACTTTGGGAGGCCGAGGTGAGCAGATCACCTGAGATCAGGAGTTCGAGACCAGCCTGGTCAACATGGCGAGACCCTGTCTCTACTAAAAATACAACAAAAAATTAGCCAGGCGTCATAGTGCACAACTATAATCCCACCTACTTGGGAGGCCAAGGCAGGAGAATCACTTGAACTCAGGTAGCAGAAGTTGCAGTGAGCCAAGATCGTGCCATTGTACTCCAGCTTGGGTGACAGAGTGAGATTCCGTCTAAAACAAAACAAAACAAAAAAAGTGTGTGGATCTGGGAAGGGCAGGAGCAGGCAGCATGAAGGCCTAGGGACCCCCAACCTCATCAGGTAGATTCCCCTACCACTTTCTCACCAAGGGGATCATTCTTGGGTCTGGTGCTTCTAATGTGTCAAGAACAAGAGATCATAATTTCATCATTAAAAATGGGTCAAACACAAGGCCATATCCTCAGGATCATGAAGATGAGATTCTTTCCTTGGCTTTACATTTTAATTTATTTTGTTTTTATTTTTATATTTTGAGACAGTGTGTTGCTCTGTTGCCCAGGCTGGAGTGCAGTGGCAAGATTACTGCTCACTGCAGCCTCAGTCTTCTGGGCTCAAACAGATCCTCCTGCTTCAGCCTCGAAAGTAGCTGGGGTTACAGGTGGGTGCCACCATATCCAGTTAATTTTTTAAAATTTTGTGTAGAGACAGTGTCTCACTATGTTGCCCAGGCTAGTCTTGGACTCATAGGCTCAAGCGATCCTCTTGCCTCAGCTCACAGCTGTGAGCCACCTCTCCCAGCCTAATTTATTTTGAATACCAAATATTAATAGAAACACTGAAATGGCTTTTTAAAAATTAGCTTCTTTTTGAAAAGATAATAGAAGCATGCAAAAAGTAGAAAGGGGTGAAAATATTCTTCCAGTCCTATCTCCCAGCCCCTCTTAACTCAAGTTCATCAATGTCCGTTTTAAAAAGTCAATAGGCTTTTTTTTTTTGGTAAGGAGTTTTAGGTTTATAGAAAAATTGAATGGAAAGCACAGAGATATATATTTCCTCATCAGTTTCCCCTGTTGTTAACATTTTCCATTAGTCTTCATTTGTTACAACTGATGAGCCAATATTGATACATTATTATTAAGGAAGGTTCATAGTTTACATTAGGGTTCACTTCTTGGTGTTGTACATTCTATGGATTTTGACAAAGGTATAGTGACATATATCCATCATTACAATATCATAGAAAATAGTTCTACTGCTTTAAAAATCTTCTGTGGGCCGGACGTGGTGGCTCACACCTGTAATCCCTGGCGCTTCGGGAGGCTGAAGTGGGAGGATCACTTGAGGTCAGGAGTTCGAGACCAGCCTGGTCAACATGGTGAAACCCTGGCTCTACTAAAAACACAAAAATTAGCCAGTGTAGTGGTGTGCACCTGTAGTCCCAGCTACTCGGGAGGCTGAGGCAGAAAAACCGCTTGAACCCAGGAGGTGGAGGTTGCAGTCAGCCAAGATCGCACCACTGCACTCCAGACTAGGTGACAAAGCTAGATTCCATCTCAAAAAAATAAAAAATAAAAAAAAAGAGAGAGAGAGCAAAAAATCTTCTGTGTTCTGCCTGCCTATTCAACCCTCCCTTTCCCTAAAACCCCTGGAAACAACTGGGTTTTTATTTGTTTGTTTGTTTGTTTTACTGTCCCTATAGTTTTGCCTTTTCAAGGCTGTCAGAGCTGGGATCATACAGTATGTAGACTTTTCATATAGGCTTATTTTACTTAGCAATGTGCTTTACTATTATTATTATGCCTAAGCTGTGCACAAGCTCATCTCTTGTTATTGATGAATAATATTCCATTGTCTGGATGTATCACAGTTTGTTTATCCATTTACCTATTAAAGGACACCTTGGTTGCTTCCAAGATTTGGCAATTATGAATAAAGCTCCTAGACACATTCATGTGCAGGTTTTTCTGTGGACATAAATTTTCAACTCATTTGAGTAAATACCAAGAAGTGTGATTGCTAGATCATATCGTAAGAGTATGTTTAGTTTTGCTTTCCACCCCAATGCCCCTTTCGGTAGTTTGCAAGTGCATGTTAGCACAATAGGTACTTAGTGGAGATGGAGATGCAGCCCCTGCCAATAGCTCCAGATGGACACCAAGGCAAGCGCTGCCTCCATCTAGAGGAACATGGGGGTCACTGTGAGGAGCATGAACTCCATCAGGCTACAGGGGAGGTTTGCGATTTACTTGGTCTGCGACCTCAGGCAAATTGCTTACCTTATTCATGCTTTCGTTTTCTCAACAGTAATTAGGCTTGGTAATAGCACCCAGACAGTAGGTTCTGAGAATTACCTGAAATATTCCATGCACATCTTAGTGCAACACTTGGTACAAGTAAGTGCTCAGTAAATGTTAGGCATTTTTATTTCACATGACATAAACCAGCATCTTTTCTCCCAAAACAGCCAGTACGTTCTTTAGAGATAAATTCATGTGGCAGTGCATTCGGGAACACCCATGACAGAACAACTAGACACACTGAGGAATCTGGTGAGAAACAAATGTGTAGCAGTTAAAATAAAGGAAAATTAAAACTAGGAAGAAAATGTCCTTAAGTGAAATTGCTTCCTCCTCGGAGGTTTTGGTCCACGGTATAAATTTCGCACTCCACTCTCAACCCTGGTTCCCATTACTGACTTGGTGGCTCAGGATCCCCTACGATCAGTTCTGGACTGTGAGCTGCCCTGTCTCTGGTGGTCTGCCAAAGCCTGACCCCAGACACCCAGGCTAGCCTGGCACCCCCACAAGGTGAACAGCATCCTCATCCCAATGGCCTGGCTGATGTTCGTGTTTTTTCTTTTTTCAGGCAACTCTGCAGGCAGGTGGGAGAAAGGGCATAAAGCCATCCATGTGATTTTAAAACAATTTATTTGAGTGGTTCTTATGCAATGACATAACGATAGGTGCTAACAATGCAAAATAAATGCGCCATGACTGTATCTTCTTTGTACTGCGTTCGTTTTGAAAATTAACAAGTAAACAAAAGAAACAATTTTTCTCCTGAGCATCCCTGATTAATAATCTATGGTTCCCTACATTGCAGACACTCCAGTGGAAATGGAAACATTTGAGTTTTTGCACCTCGGTCAATCACGACATTTGGGAGTTTGGTAACTTGCATTTCACGCACCTGAATTGCCCTTCATGGATAATCAAATACTAGTTTTCCTGTTTTTAACTGCACAGGCAGGCTTAGGTCAGGAGGTCAGAGCATCCGGAATTTTTTTTTCTTTCCATCTAAGATAACATTCTTTACTATGGCTCCAAAACAGACACACCTATATGAGCATCGGCATAAAGCGTCCGGCACCAAGGGCATACTTTCGCGAATCCACAAAATACTTTTGGATCAAAGTCGCAAAACCCTAAAAGATGACAGCAGAGCTCAAGAATTCCTGCCTAGGGTATACCACCACGTAGGCTTGAAAAGATGTGAACTGTTAGGAAGACAGGGTCTGCAGGAAGTCCCCCACAACGACACTACTCGTGTCATGGTTTTAGGATTGTTCACGTTCATTAGTCCGTG